CGTTGCAAAAGGCGTCTGTACATCGATTTTAACTTTCTAACCATTTGATTTCTTGAGATTCCCGGGTAAATCTGATTGGTTTACAACTTCAGGCTCTTTGTAAAACCTTGACTTTATTACCGTACAATATAGCACTGTAATCGCGTTTTATCTTCTAATGATGAAAACGTTTTGGTTACTTTCTTCATTGTTTTTATTTGGTTATCTAATTTCACATCACTGTATGCTGTATACAATTATATATGTGTTAACTTACCGAAAACTCAGCTCTTTTTAAAAAGAAAGTGAATGTTAGTGTTCAGACAAGTGCCAAAGCATTAGGTCTAGGTCTTGCTAATTGGCCCTTACCATTTAACTCATAAAATGAAGTGGTATAGGTGGTCACTATGTAAAGTTCTCACTAAGCAGTTTTTTATTGTTTGCACTTTTAAAGAATATGCTTAACCTTATTTTACCGACGGTGGAAAACAAGAAAAACAGTTGAAACTTTTAATCCATTTGTTTTTCATTTTCACAATCAGTCGTTAGTGGATTGAAAAGATCAAGTAGAATGTGCATCAATGAGTGTAATGACCATGTCAAAAAGCATTTAATTACCTAGGGATTAGTATTTCCATGTTTCCAGTAAACTAAGTAAATTCTTTAAGCTACAAGCATCCCAAATTATATGTAGTTAATTTTCCATTTTTCTGATTTCCTTAACTTAATTCAATTACTACATTATTGAGATAGTTTCTTTTTTACACTACACGGGTTGCTATTGGCTACAGATGATTTTATGAACAGATCTAGTCGTGTTGAATTGTGTTTTTTTCTTTGGAAGAGGTTGGCCATTAACTAACAAATTATTAATATACTTGATATGTATACTTATCAACACATGAGATCACTGTTCTTCCTATTTAGCATTTTTACGTTAACCGTATTTGAGAAACATAGCACATTCAGAAAACTTCGAAATTTGTAATTCCTCACCATATATATATATATATATATATATATATATATATATCATATGTTTTTTCACACCTAATTTACATAATCGAAAATTCAATGAATGACTTATTGCAAAATACATTAGCATGTTCATACGCTGAGTTGTCTCTCGAGATAAAACTTTCACTCTAAAACATTTCATTGTCAGACTAGTCTTTATCACAACTGTAATTCAATATGTCAGTGAAGTAGGTTAGTAAATCATCTCCTTCTAATAGGTAAAAATGATTTAGGTTGAGCCTAAAATAATTAAACTCCAGAAAGCATTAACTATCATACCATGGTGTTAGCAGTCAATTAACAAAGCTCAGGGGAGATTGTCCATTCTGAATCAACTTTCGGTTTTGGTTACATGGTTCTATTGAGATCAAATATTTACTCGTGCTCACTACTGTTTCGTTCATGACAGTAGTCATAAAGTAGTGTTAACCCGATGTCAGAAGACACCAGTATGAATTCTAAAGATTTGTGTGCATTTCTGAAATAGATTGTATAATTAGATACATGTTATTTTCGTAACAATTTCAACGTGTTTGAAGAGAAATAAGTCAAATGTTTTACACAATAGTCTAGCCTGAGCATCTTCACCGAAATAATGAAAATTATGTAATTGAAAACACATCAGAGGTCAAAGACGTGTACTCAATCTGTTTGACCAATGCTGCCCGTAAAATCAGTGTTCTCAAACTATGATAACGAGTTGTTCACTGTGAAATTTTATGCAATATGTTATGTGGTAGTTGCGTTCTTATCGTTATTCATATCATCCACCATTGAAAATATGTGACAAAGAAAATCACACGTGACATCTCAGTCCCCAAGTAATTGTATATGCATATATTAAGGAGAACGGAATATCGATGTGTATATCATTTATTGTTTCGTGTGAGAATCAAATAATAATAAAAATTTCGATTTTATAGTTTGTTAGTATAAGGTGAAGAGGTGACGGTATCCGTGTAGTTGGGTCACAGGATGAGACTGTATACCTTCTTGGTTTTAAAAAGCCTGGATATGCATTCCGTTGTCTTCTGAAAACCAGTGCATATTTGTCCCTTTAAATGACGAATATATCATTCCATAAAATAGAGATCAATAACAATGGTGACGGTAATTACTGTAGTAATACATAAAGTCGACTCGTTTAATGTGTTGTTGTTCTTGAAAAGGTAGTGAAAATTAAACTGATGACAAGAGTGAATGCAGAAGTCATTCCTCCCACTTATTGATTAGTAGTTGCTAAAAGACAGCTAAGTGTAGTTTAAGTCTTATGTTCAACTTATTTTGATTTGTTTATCTCTATATGTAGTATTTCAGCACCCAATCTTTCCTGATATGACCCGAAACCTTTTGTAGAACTTTGATTCCACCAAAATCAGTTTCATATTCTATTTCTATTGAGTGTAGTGCAGTTAGCAATTCGTTGTCTACTTCCTTAACGCCTTCAGATATTTTGGGGATCTCCATTAGACGTAATTCACATCGACTTACCCTTAAGTTTACTTGCCTGAATGTCATGGATATACTTCCGTTGGTATTAATTCGGTGTTTACATCTTTAAACTTCATAAAGATAATGTGTGAAGTATTCCTTGCATAAAATAAACACTCATACCATAGGTGATACTGTTTGGTGATTGAAGGTGAAGCGATAATCTTATCCTCAGCAGGATGCGAACCAGCGACATCCAACTTACTGACCTGGTGTCCTGCCAACTGAGCTACGAAACCCAACTGCAGACCATGTCTAACATTCAATCCGCAGCTGAATCTTTTAGCTCAGTTGGCAGTACACCTGGAGGTTGCTGATCTAAATCCAGCCGCTATTGGAATTTTCATTTCACCCTCAGTCATCACCCAGAATCAGTGCAAATCTACAAAAACTACGACTATCTCAGATAGTCAAATTCTTATCATAATTCTTAAGAATTCTTTTTAGTTTATCTGAACTCTCCTGACGGTGTGAAATTACCATAATGATAATCTAGATCTTTGAAGGAATTCAACATTCATTGTCTTCACCATCATGATAACTTATGTAGTGCTGTTGTCACTTTAGGAGCAAATTGTCTCAAGATGTGTTATTGATTATATTTATAGATAAGATGGTAATAAATGAATTATGCGTGATAAACTATACAGTTGTATAATATTTTCTTCATAAGAAAATAGCATACAGATTCGGAATCTTTATCAAACTGTTTTACCCGAACGAAGGTTGAGGTTTTCAAACTCGGTAGAGTTCTTAAATGTAAATGTGCTTATATTTCTTGGATTTTAGTGAGTTACTAGTTGGACTGAAATGAAAGATTCAATTTTTATGATTGACTACGTTTCTGTGACTATTAGCCTATTAAACTTCATACTGAAATTAGTGCTGGTGATGTCGTCTAGAAAGAGGATGAAAGCTTCACAATTAAACAACCCAGCTGAGAGAACACAATACAACTAAGACTATTGGATTTAAAAGGAATGCTAACTACTCTTTTCAGTAGAATATGAAAGACAAGTGATGTTGTACTTTCTTACATATTTGAAATGTTTAACGGCAAAAGTGTCTAATATCTAATATAAGCACGATAGTTACATCCCGTTCTCTGAACTGTAATACACTATGATAAATGGTTCACCGTAAGGTTTTTAATGTTGGAGACTTCCGAGAATCGAATGATTTTAGGAAAACTCATGAGTATAATTGCTCATTTCAGCTTTCGGTAACCAGTTACAAAGTACATATTATCTGAAGCTTGTAGAAATGGAGTTGTTGTTACGACGGAATTCTAGATAGCCAAACTAAATTGTGGAGAATTGCAACAAATTGAGATTTATCTGTCTTTAACTAAAAGCAGTGCCCTGTTTAACTGCTTTCTTGACTGTCATAAACATTCTCTTATCAACTGTCTCCCCGTCTGGTTTGTAGTTAATTCAGTATATTTGCTTTTTTTTACGGTGAGCTTTTAATGAAGTATTTTTTTGATAAAAATTGTACAATATGAAATCTTTATGTCTTCTGATTTTAAGCATCTCATCAGTCTATTCCTTGCTAGATTTTATCTACTGGTAGATTAAAATTTTTTTTCATGACTTCGGTTCACTTCGAAGGTTTCTATGTCTTGCTATATGTATGTATCTCTGGTTCATTCGAAGCCTAGCATTAATTACTTTCTTTCTAAACTTTCAAAAATGGATTGAGATAGATAGTTTGTGACATTATCTTATGGCAAGAGATAAACCTGTGTTGATTATTGATTTCTGGGAGTTTATTGATTTTAAAGTACTTTTTCCCCAACTGATGTCAGTTCGTAAATAAAATTATTCTGAAATCCCTTTTACTTTAAAAACAGTTGGTAGTTAAGTTGCCGTGCAGCTTATCAGGATACAACTTTTGCTATACAATTAAGAAAAGAGGTTTTTGGCAATCCCATCACTGTATTTGTTATTTTCCCGCTTGAATAGTAAGATATAAATATCCACATTGAAATTTAGTTATGTATAGTAGTGGTACAGTTTTCATTGTTACTATTCGTCGTGTCAATATTTAGTCCGACTATCCTTCTTGTATAATAATGTCTGTCTTTTGTTGCACGTGGTGTAGAAAGTTCCTATTCCTTTTTATTCTTTCACGTGAATCATATCTTCCTTTTCTTCAGATGGCCTAAATACTAAACATACATGCTTTTCTATGGTATATTATGATTTTTAAATGCATGTTATTCATCTATCATCCTGTATAAACGTGTTAATACTGTCATAAATCCATGATAATTGTATGAACTCAAGCTGTTTGGTTGTTTGATGGTTTACCGTGGTCATAATATCACGAATTTATGACATTCATACACATGAATCACATGCTCATACTCATATTTTAACTTGCTGAAAGCAATCCACAATTTATGTTTTACGTGCATTTTTCCTCCATAATAAATATTTGGAAAAATTAACCGTAATATAATTAAAATAGTGATTAAGTCCGAAAAATTTGTTTCACCTGTTTACCTATAGAACAATATGAAAATCTCAAATATTTGGATCCTATCGGTGCTGTTCTAATCGGTACCTATATTCTATATTCATGGTATCATCTTGGTGCCGGTAAGTTGTTGGTGTGTAAATTAACCTTTCCCGGTAAAATTATAATGCAGTCGTGATAACTAGTTGGCATATTTTCCACATATGAAAGCGTTTTTTCTTCAAAAAGGATCTCTTGTTTAATCGACGTTCATTCAGTAGATGGGCTTGCCAAGTTGGGTCATCTGTGGCTCCCACTGGCGAGATATTCGACTATCAATCAAAGGACGTGTATAATGCATTGTGGTTTGTTTCGTCCTGTTGTACGGCTATGAGGCACTTCCGTTGTGGGTAGAAGACATGAAGTGATTACTAAGTTTTATGAAATCACTGCGAGGTGAATGTTGAGGTCAGACAAAGGAAACTAGGCCAAAAAGACAAGTCGATTGATGAGGTTGTGGACCTTTGTCGATTGAGATGGCTTGGACATGTACCGCACATGCTGAGCCACCGGATGACGTCCCATGCTAGAGGAAGTTGGATTAGGTTAGAAGAGGGTTCATGTTGGCCAGATCAAGACTTGGGACCACTTGGTGAAGTCTCTAACTGTTAGTATAAGCCATTTGGGATGATGTCGAATACCTGACTGGAGTCCCGGAGACGAAAAGAAATGAGAAGTTGAGGATTCTTGGTGACGTGACTGAAAGGCAATCACAATGGCCCAGATGTATTCACTCCTTGACACCAAAAGGTTCAATATTCGCACTAACCTTTATCTATAAATTGTTGATTCTGTCAAAGAAATTTGTTTGATTTGATATCACTCATTCTCTATCAATCTGATCTTTGTGTACTTCTATAAAGTGTCACAACTTGAGCTGTTGCACCTTTGTGAGAGGTTCTATGTTAGTTTTGTTAGTCGGTAGATTAGCAGTGGTGATGAGTGATGGAACATTTGATGTCTATTAGGGAACAGAAATCTATTTTTAGTGATTGGTTTTGTTATGATTATCTCCAAAATAGGTAATGTTTTGTCAGTCACTAATAATAATGTTATAAAAGTGAAAACATCATCTACTGGAAAGCAGGTACATCTAGCTGACGAGTCCCAAATAAAGTAAAACACGCGTTCTGGATCCTGCTGCTGGCCCCTACCTATCATTCATATCAAATTCAAAGATATTGGCAATATCCAGGCATCCGCACAGAAGCCCATATGCTAGTTGTGGTCGATCAGTTTATTCCAATCAACGTTGAAGACTCATAAGCTGTAACATCAAAGGCAATAAAATAAACGTTAATACAATGACTTAATATTTATCACTGCTGACCAATTTGGGCGGAATTGATTGGTCATGTTTGGAATGTTAGGTTCTATACATAAACCTTGGTAATGCTGGCAATTTCCAGCTGATGAGTTCCAACTTAGGAGAAACTTACGGGCTGAATCCCCGTCCTAATCATTATTCGTCACCACCATCAGGGTTGTAAGTCCAAATGAAGAACTCAGTATGATACATCGACAAAAAACAAATATTTTATAGATTATGTCTTTCAAATACTTTATGGCAATTAGTGTCTCTATTGTAACAGCTGCATTCAATATATCATGTTCGGATGCAGTGTAAAATTTACAGTATGCAGCATGTTAACATCTGTCATTGGAAAAAACACCTTAAATCATAATAAAATAGTACTTGAATAACAAGGGTAACGGAAATGACAAATAACTGAAATAACAGCAGGTTTAGAATAACTATTCACCGATTAATCCGAGTATTCTGTTGAAGAACCTGTGGCTTACACAATGAAACATTTAGAAAAATCTTGTTTTGATTTTATAAATATGTTAGGAACATATTCAATAATTTTGAGACGATTTAGTAACTACTACTAAGGTTTCAGTTCATTTTCACTTAAAAAATCCCTTTTTTGACGTAATAAATGTGCGAGATAAGGCATAATTAGCATAAAGAAGATACAATAGTAACGGTACAAACGCTAATGAACATGCACCTTGTTCACAATAGATAATAACAAGGAAAAAGCTGTGAATAGATTGCATGCCTATTACTAACTATAATAATTTGCAGCCGAATACTCGCAAACAGTTTCAAAGCATTTTGATTACATTTTTCATTGAATCAAGGTAAATAAGTGAATATTTTGATAAAATTATCTGACAGGAACCTTAGATTGGTTCAAAATCACTTTCATTTATGGAGTTTAACTTATTTCAGGTATTTTAGTACAATGCAAAGTAATACTCTGATTGGATAGAATTTGAGTACAAACTGCTCTGTGTATGTTAAATAACATTCTGATTTCACAAAATTTAATTTTATCGTAAACTGTGTAAAATTTAAAACGATGAACAACCTCTCTGCTGATTAACATACCTTGTATTATTTCAGTTCATTATAGTTTAATTATTAATAAAATTAATTTCACAAATCATAATACAAACCATTCATTAACATCAATTTATCACACTTTTTCATTCGATATGAAGTGTAAACAGCTGGTAAAAATAATTAACTAATCACCAAATACTATGGAATAATTAACGAACTGAATTCTGCATTGTTAGTTTGAAGAGGATTACTGTGGACCCGTTTGTCATTATTTTCCTTATATAGAACAACTATGTTTCATCAAACCATTTCAAATATCAGTGTCCCTCATCCATTATACCATTGAAGGTAGTCATCAAAGCGAAAGTACATTACTGTAGTGATAAAAGGATGAACTTTCATCGTAAGAATTTTCTAAACTGATTTGGTTAATAATATGGACGTAATATTTTCGCAATCCATGATAAACTAAGATTATAAACATCTGGACCATAATTGCTGCGAATGTCTTCTAAAAAGTCAAGCACTGAGTCTAATTTAATCATCAAAAGAGTATATTTAGTATAATCTCAGTGTGTTTAGAAAATCAAGACAAGATTCCTATTCAGAATAAAATTCCATATATTCTGCTGATGAAGCTGTGCCTTACACAGCGAAACGTTCAGAAATATCGTGCTCTGATTTTCTAAACACGCTAGGATTATATTAACTATAATCTTATAGTGATCCAGGATGAACACTTTCATAAGCTATGAAATTGATCTCCTCTATATATAATGGCTGATTTGTATATTTTTTCTCAAAATCACGGCCTAATTTCATCCTACTTATCATGAGAAGAATTGAAAATCACAAGTTAGACCACAACATAAACTGAAGACTGAGACTTTTTTTTATTCTGTTTGACTTACGATCCAAAACAAGCAAATGTCATTTTCAATATGATTATTTTGTTGTGAAAACTTTCTTATCATAAATATTTTTCGACGTAATGCATACAGAAATTTGAGTTCCTTCTGTGACAATTGAATACAAAGATACTTAAAGCAGTAAATGAGTGAAATATAATTAGTTAAATATTATTGTCTAAAATTATATATTTTTGAAAGTGTGTTGGCTTCTTAGAAATTAATAAATATGTCGCAAAAGTTGTTTTATGCGACCCTGATATTTTGACAGACCTTCAGTTACTGTTACTTCTCATCTGGGCGTATTTTCAATTTCTTATATTTGTTAACCAGAAATAATTTTTCCTTATATGTTTCACACGTTATCATATATTACTTTTCTAATAGAATAAAGCTACTTTCAAATATGCTTGTATTCACTTTAGAACAAATACGTAATTTAGCCGGTCATACAGCTGATCCACATTTCATTCAAATGATTGCATTTGTTTGCCTTAATTATCATCCACTAATTGAAAGACTGGATACGATCAGAGCATTTCATTTCGGAGCTCACTTCTTGGTTGAAGTAAGTTGTGATTTAAAAAGAAAGCCTACTGTTATACATTCTTTGACTGTTTCCATAAACTACTCTGAATCATTTCCTTCAAGTGACTGTGTGTTACAAATTGATTATGGTTCTGTTTGTCGTATTCGTTGTGTCACCTGACTATTTGTTTGAAAGTATTGCCTAGTGGTAATTATACACATTCATAGAAACACCTCTGTGAGCTGAATGATCAACTAAAATCAAGTCATCATATACGTTTTAAATATATACTTCTGAGAAATCTCAATATTAAAGAGGGTCATTTCTAGAGTCTATTCACTCCTCCGTTGGTTTCTGTTCTTATAGAAGGTACCCAAAGACATTTTCAAAGGAACTACTTTGTGCCTGCCGAAATATTACAGATTTTTTTATTTACTTAGACAGTATAGGAGTTACATGCATGTAACTCTGAACAAATGAATCATTTGCATAGTATCAAGTTGAAAAAGGAAATTTTTGATTAGTTTCCCTCATAATTAGACAGGTTATATCACAAATGCTGGTATTTAATAACTATTTGATTCACTCACGCACTGTGGTCCTGTTAGACAAAAGTATTGATTAGATTTATAGTTTTCTAAATACTTGCGGTCAGTAGGTGTGTGGTTTGTCAACGTTCATTTCTCACCTGTGGAATAAATACCGATGCCTCAGGATTCTATCACAAACAGCCAATCTACCCAGAAGCTATAGATTAACCAGGTTTACTGATTTACATGGGAAATACTTTCTTGCTATATTGTAACCATCATGCCCTACGTTGCAAATCCAAACATCTCAAATCTCTTCTAACAGTTTACAAAAGGAAGAGAACTACAATGAATTATACAATCTTTCAAGTTATATGGTCGTGTGTGGTATCACCGAATGTTAATTGCATCTGTAAGCATATATATAAAACTAGTAAAAACTGTTTATTGTAAAGATAAAGGCAACAAACTTAATAATTGTCATGAAATAATGAATTCATTTATTCAGCTCCTTCATACTTCTCATGTGATGAGTATACCACAAATAGAAAATACTAAGTTTTAAACAGTTGTCAAATGCCTGAAACCTCACGTTCACACTCTTTAACGCCCACAGTTAGAAAAGGTGCTCTGTTGCTCAGTACACTAGGAACTTTATAAAAATTCACATATTTAACAGGTGCCACAGATGAAGAGAACTAGTAAAACCCATTCCAGTTAACCATTCGTCAGTCAGAACTTAACCGACCAGATGTCTGTCGTAATTGATGAGGGTTTGTGGACAAGTAAGATTGTTGATACGCCTAAGCATTTCACTCTAAATTGTCACGTAGACAGTCATTACAGGCTAGTTGTGAAGTAAAAATTTGCACAGAGAAGGTGGAAAATGCATCAGATAAAGTCGCAAAATGCTACTAATAAATTTCTATATGTCGTCAGACACTTAACCTTATAAAGATGTGTCGTTTGCAGTGGCTAAGAAATTTAAGGAGAGAAGAATAATCTCTGTAGCTAAATGAGTTGGCCTATGACAAAATCGAATAGAAATGCAGAGAGTAAACTTTTCTGATAAATCTCCTTCTTTGGAGAGACACCAAAAGACACCCCACTATGGGCTTTGTTACAACCACGAATGTTGTAATGGCACCGATAAGCAAAGCGAACATACAGTACGGTTTTATAAATTACTCACTCATTCAATCGGTTTCACTTCAATAAATCTTAAATACGCAGTGACAAATTACGTAGTGTATTTAATATTTGAAAACGCTATACGAGTGATAACAAGTTTTGTTTTCTCTCTCTATTTTCATCAGGTTGATATTGTACTGCCTAAAGAGATGTGTCTTAAAGATGCTCATGATATTGGTGAAGGATTACAAAAGAGGCTGGAAAGACTTCAAACAGTTGAACGCGCTTTTGTCCACTTAGATTATGAATATACACATCATCCTGAAAGTGAACATAAAATAGCATAAAATGAAATGTTTGCAGGTCTTTTTTTCTGCATGCTTCATGCATGACATGTGTATATGTCCTTTCATTACTCCATAATTTACATACATAGAAACGAACACTAACTCATAAATTCATTTTATCACTAAGAAGAGACAGAGAGAGATAGAAGGTCAAACGGATGACAGAACTGTATTTTATCACTGATAGATGTCTTCGTCCTGACTTCCTTCGTAGTTCTATCGTTTATCATCTGGTTGTCGTTTTTTATACAATAACGTGTTTTCTTAAACAGTTATTTTGCATTAGATTCATATTATGTTACATAATGTTTTTGTCTACTAATTTATTTATATACAAAGTCAAAGCTTGTGGCCGTAGTCGATAGTTAACATCCTAACAAGACATAAAAACAATTTTTGTACGGACCATCTTTCATTGTGTGTCATCAGGTTATGAATACAATATCCATTTTGTTTATATATATATATATATATATATGTGTAAAAGATGGATAGAGCGGAACAAATTAAAAACCACTAGCCATTCATGAATATTAGTGATATCCATAATAGTTTTACTATTACTATTGAAAATCAGTTTTTTTGACGCCGACTTTTTATGAGTAGAAGCAGAGGACATATCTTTCCTACTACCAAGAAGTTGTCTATCTCACATCCCCATCTATTTTCTTTCATTGTTTGTTCAGTCTTTTCATAGCAAAATTCTTCACATAATTGGGAAATGCATGAAATTTTGTATGATCTCATCTTACAACAGGATTTCGTAATTTTTTTTCCTATTCTCATGTTATCTGTCAAAACTATTGTTTTTATGGGCATCACATGATTTAGTCTACTTTCTTTTTTCTGTTTGTCTGTCCATTTTTTTTTATAGAATGATTACTTTACTACTGTTTCAATTAAAGATTTTGCTAAATAAAATGGAAAAAAGCATATTTGATTTGGTCACCATTTAGCTTTGAGGCAGTGGTTGACACTATATTATTTTGTACTTTATTGTATCTACAAATGTTTTTACAGATTTAATCGCCTTTCTGTAGTCCAGACAGATGTTAATTTTTAATGATATACATACTTTTCATCACACAAATGAGTAAATTGGTGTGAAAATAAGTTTTCCTAGATATGTTTCATTACCCAACTCTTCAGAATATACAATAACTGAAGGTTTGTTGTGCAATTATTTACGACCTCATATCACTGGATACATAAGTTGAATAAGTATAAAACAACTGAAAAATCCTTTGACTTACACCGTGCTTCTTCCAGACGCGATAATCTTAATGTGTGTCCTAGTATAACTGTAACATTAAAGCTGCCGTAACCCACATCAATCATCAGTTGTTTTTTTTAAATTTAGAATGAGCTCTCCAGGAGATTACTGCTTTTTAGGGTATTAAATACTTTTTGGTCAGTAAAGTATCTGTATGACTAGTTTTTGCGTTCAAAAACCAACTATGCATGCTCACTATCTTTGATTTTTACCCTATATATATATATATATATATATATATATATATATATATATATATATATATATATATATATATATATATATATATATATATATAGGTAGACGGAGTAGTGAATAGTTGAGTGTGTTTGTAAATGTGCATTTGCATCACCAGAGCTCAGGTATTTTATAGGTACATGGGCTGCCATCTGGAATTTAGTAATTAACTTCTGTAATCTGTAATTCAAAATTGACAATAACCATGGGCAACTTCTGATATGGTATTGAGATACTTGATGAAAAAATATATTCAGTCAGTAAATCATTTTGATGATAATAATATCCAGAATGATTCAAAAAGCTGGTAATTCACTGATTCCATATGCCATCATCCTTTACATGTTGCTATTCATCGTGCACTGATATCATTTGGGGAAACAATGGGAATCTGGAAGCACTGGGCAGCTGTTTCTTCCCGGTATGGGACTTTTCGGCAGTGAGCATCACCACCGGGGATCGAATTCGAGACCTTCAAGTTCCACTGCCAGCGCACTACCTTGAAGCTACTGGGTCGGAATCTAGTGGTCAAGATTTCCTACTTCTTTTAGTCCACGATGTGTCGCGACCTCCATCTAATGCAATTGTTGGGTAACTGTCCTCATATTCGACTATGTCATGAACTGATATAATTCAGAAATATGAACCATGGTATTCCGACCCAAGAGCTCAATAGTAACGCACTGGCTGCGTAACCTGGAGGTCCTGGGTTTGATCTCTGGCGATGTCAGGTATGCGTGCTGTTGAGGAGTCTGGTACTGGGAAGAGACAGCTCCCCAGTGTCCTCAGGTTTCTAATTATTCTTCAAGTGGTGTCAGTTCATAATGCATATCAACCTGAAATCAATAAATAAACCCTGATATACCTCCAAATTCCTTTTATTGTGCCTGACACTGGTACATTTAGCAAAGGTTTTGGCGTTAAGAGATCTGCAGAACATATCGTAAAATAAGTACCAGCATCAGTGACTCTTAGAAAGGGGTTCGCCTTGAAAGAAAGTTATGACTTGTGTCTTGCATATGAAGCTAGTAGCCATATAAGAATTAGAATCGATGCGAAATATCCATAAGCATACTTATAGTTATGCATATCTCAAAACTTTGTTATTATTCAGTTGGTGAAAATCCACTCAAGCAGCAGCTACTTGCGGAGATCATTTAATTTTGATTAAATTATAACATGCTAAGTTAAATAATTCCATTAGGATAAGCCAACCTCGAATTGTGCTTCGAACAGATCACTATGCACAGGTAACAAAACTTTCCGAATAGTATGACTCCATTTCAGTTCATGATTTCTTGTTAGTTTATTAAAAATTAAAATAACCATAAGAAAAGTTATGTAAATAACTGCTGCACTTAACGTGTTATAGACCAAAAGAAGGTGAACAGAAAAGTACATCGACAAGTCGTCTGAGTGGAGAAAAAATTATAGATTTTGATTCAGTTCATTGTCAATAATACTCTTGGCAATATGCAAAAGAAGTTGCAGGTAATAGTTCATGAATTATATACAAAAATGAACTTCCGAACACTGTTTTTCGTGGCTGTCTAAAGGAAAGTCTAAGGTGACTAACAGTTTGATTTTTGAGCATCTAGTCACTCTGAGCTATCAGAATCTTCTTTCGCAGTCATTCATGAAGCCAAATGAAACATTTTGAAGGAAATGCGGATTCCTTGATGTAAGAGTAAGACTTAGAGACTGTGGTAGAGTACAATTCCTTATTCGATATAGCACGCATTTATATAGTATTATTTACTGGATCTAGTAAATAATCCTGTATAAATATGTTCTATATCAAATAAAAAATCCAATATGGAGTGCGGATTCACCACCTCACCGCAGCAGAAATCTTGGTAATTCATTGGTTAAGGCCTGATCTCTTTGTTCGAAAGAGGCATATCCAGTCTCTAGTTTCATCTTGGTCATATTCTCTTGAAAACTATTTGTCTATTCATCGTAATCCAATAAACATTTTTTGATGACTTTGTGTTGACCTACTAGCCATAATCGGCAGTTGACTCGATTGATAATTTTTTATGTCGCTGTACTGACCCATTAGCTATTGATTGACACATACCTTTTTTGTAACTATAAATACAAAAATGCAGCTTCTGAAAATGGTTCATAAAAAAATTCTCTTCGCTGAGTTGTCCTTTGCTATTAGTGTTATTTCCATATTGTTTTCGACGTAAATTCACAATTTTTCTCTGTTCCTCTTTTAAGCTTCTTGACTGGCGACAGCTGTCTATACTTGCTGGGTAGTTCAATAACTGAGTAACATTCAAATAACGTGGTATATTCCAATAAAAATATAGTTCATCATTACTCTTGAAATACTCTCGTATCGCTAAACATTAAACAGCACATCTCGAGAATTCTCGCTTACTACTTTTATCTGGCCAGGCTGCTATTGAAAAATGTGATCAATTAAAGACAGTTGTCCTGCAGTGAAATTCATAAGTAGACGGTGTGTTTATAAAAACAGAGAGATTGTGGTTGCAAACAAAGGTGCACATTGCGACCCAATTATTAAAGTAGCACTTAAATTCCAATAGAATACTATGCAAATTCATCTCATAACTTGATTTCATGTTTGCGGATGGAACCGTTGAACAGAAGACTCTAAAAGGAAGTTGTATGATATTTATTTTGGCGCTTGAACACTTATCGTTTTTGAAAAGCAAGAACAACAAGTATTGTGGGATGATTCGGACTCATTTCGTGTTCTCTAAATCATCTACATAAGCACTAAATTTAAAATTTTCTATACTACGCTATCAGTGTTTAGCATAAGTCATTTGATGCATTTCAGTAGTAGACAACACTAAATACATCTTTTAAACCTAAACATCAATACATATATACGGGAACATAGATGAATGACAAAGTTCACAATCAAAACAATCAATACAGGAAAATAAGTCGGACTTTAACATCGATCAGTAAACACAAAGCAAAATATGACGTGCTAGTAGTAGAGGAATGTGATTACAGCTCAAGGTGGTAGGATGTCTAATGGTAGGGGGAGAACAACAAAGAGAGTAAGCAAAGTATATGAGTTAATAGTAGACTAATAGGAAGGAACACGCTAACAAACATGATAAAAATATAATAGGTTAAGGTAAATCAAAAAATGACATGAATAATGCTTGAAAATAATGTGTAGGACAATAAGACGAAAGAATAAAATAATAAATGAAGCTGTAGGAAAAGAACAACTCACTAAGGCAACGCAAGGTGAACCGCAAACTCTTTTGCACACATAAGTCTGGTTTTAATCGACGGATTGCTGCTGCTTCTGCATAACGTAGCAACCTACTATTTCTTTTTCTATTGAGTCAATGGCATGGCCTGTATCCAGTCTGTGCTTGCCAATGGCGCTGCTTGGTAGCCTTCCACCTTTCAATGATAGGCTTTTCCGTACATGTTCAGAGATTCGTTTAGTAAGGATCCTCTGCGTTCTTCAGACAGACATGCTGCTACAGGTACAGATGAATAAATAAATACAATTGGGGTTAACATGAGGACGTCTCATATCTAAACTAGTTTCTCTGACTATGTTTTTCGTATCATAGACAACTGATAATTTCTGAGCTGGATAAGTTAGTGCGATGCATACATTCAATCGGCGACTGTTTTGTGAACTCAATTCATCTCCTTTCAATGGTAGTCTGATGAACACCTTCTTTTTCGGCACGGTTGTATCATTCAGTTTCTCATTTTTAAGTTTGAAGTGTTTATTAATGAACTTCATGGGATATCCATTATCTATAAAAGTTTTTGGTATGGTATCCAGTTCATTATCGATGAATTCCCTGGAGCATAGTCTGGTAGCCCTTAAAAATAAAGTCTTGACTAAACTTCTTTTATAAGTGATTGGACAGAAGCTATTAAGTGGCAACTGTTGACCGTCCATGTAGGCTTATGATAAATTCTGTGTAGTACAGAACCGTCTTCATTTCTTTTAATACTCAGATCCAAGAAATTTATTTCATCTAACTTTTCATGTTCACATGTGAATTTCACGTCTGAATGAACTGAATTGAAACATCTGAGTAGGTTCGCTGCATGGAGTTCACTCTCACATATGATGAAAGTATCATCTACATATCTTAAACACAGTTTTCTCTGTTTTATGGCATCTAAGTGGCCTAGGAATATGTTTGCGAATATGGGACCAAAGGGACTGCCCATAACCACACTTTCTGTCTTTCTGTATTTTCTCTCAAGAGACTGAACACCAAACTTATTTTCGTTGAAATGGTATTCCTCAAACTTCACACTTTGCACTGTGAAATAGAGCAGCTTCGAATAAGACACTTGATGGTCTTATAATCTGTCTACGCTGCATTTGAAATTCTTCAATTCTTCGAACTTCCACTGCCGTATCAAATAGAAATATTTTGTTTAGGATTATCACAGGGTAACTGGTCATTCTTAACTTACCTTCTCAATAATAATGTTAAAATAGGCCTTAGAACCAAAGGCTGCTTAATTGAATTTATTCACCTTAGCTCAAGCATAGCTGAATCTGATGGAAGAAATAATTTCTTTCCACCGTAGGTTTTTAAAGCCATACGAATGAAAGTTTGAACTCAGTTCTTAGTCCCATCACCAAGCTAATAACAAAATTAACTAGATTTCTTAATAATCTGTCTTATAACTTGTAGTTTTCCATCGTTTATTAATTCGAATTAATCGACCACTATTAACGTAAGGGCTCCTATGAGAATCCCTAAAGATTTATTGCCATGTAATTTGCCTAGTACTAATTAGCACTAAGATCCAGAAAGTTAGTTCCCTTTGATTTATGACCTTTCATCTGGATATACCTGTTTCTCAGTAAGTAATGTTTCTTCCGCCA